CTAAAATTGTAACCAAAACATTCTGTTACAGTGATTCTGTAGAGTTGCTATCATGTTGGCCCAAGCAGCAGTTATATTAGGTTGCAACTCATTTCATGAGACTGCTAAGTAATCATGTGCAATAATTGGGACAGCCATAATTGTTATATTGTAACTCAGCTGTTAAAAGAGGCCCTGACGTTACCCAAGAGTTTGCAGAGCCAATAAAGAACAGGTGTAGTTCAGAATACTGGGAAGTTACGAAGTCATTTATCAGAGTGGTTGGCATTTAGAGAAGATGGCTTGCAAGCCAGTCACCCTGGATTTAATGCCAAGAATTCTTATAACAGGTAGAGAAATAGTTGTTAAAAGCAATTGAAATTAGGAAATTTGTAACATTATACTATCTACCCTATCTGAACTGAAAGGTGTTAAAATATACTTGTTCATGTGGGAGCTTTAATATTTTGTTGAGTTAGCATTTGCTTGGGGAAAAAACGTGCATGCGTCACAATTTTTACAACTGTGTTCTGAAAAGTGGGAATACATGGATATTTGAGGATATTTTAAAATCTCTTATTTCTAAAGGACTGTGATTGGTTGATCTGAAAGGAAAAAAAAAAAGCATCTGTTTCAAGCCAGAGAATGGCTAACAGGTTGCAAGGAGCCCAACTTGCAATCATGCAACAAAAAAAAGGATGCCTAGCCTTGTGAGTAAATTCTTCTCCTTAACAATTTAAAAAGATGTCCTGGGTAGTATCATGGTATTTGGAACAGTTCATAAAAGTACGACGACTTATTAAGGCTTCTGTAATGAAAAAACACAATCAAGTATTATCCCACGTAGCTCAAGTTCCAGCTTTATCTCCCATGTTTACCAAGGATCTCTATCTGTGTCAGACTATGCACTATGAAAAAAACATACAGCTAAATAGCATGTGTTAAACACTTAATTCTTGACAATTTGCACAGCAAAATAAATGAAGGAATCTGATTTAGAATCTAAATTAAGTCTTCAAATACTTACAACAATATTTAAAATGATCTTTTTCGAAATATGATGCAAACTTCTTGAATAGAAAGTCTTTAATACGAACATTAACCTGAGATATGACTGTCTGTATCAGGGGTTTGGATAATTTAACTAAATGTGTGTAGAACGAATTTGACCACATCATTATAATTTCTAACTTCAGTCCTAACCTAAGCAATTGCCAGAGAACACCTTGTGCATTTTCAAGGTGACCAGAAGAGTAAGGGAAAATAGAGGAGACTCTTTTTCAGCATTTTTTTTAACATGCAAAGGGTCCTATCTGATTTGCAAACCCCCAAACAATTACAGAACTGGTGAAATTGTGAGATCAGCAAATACTGTATTAATAATGAATCATGTTCATTATCATATTAGCTGCAATTCTGTTTAGCAGATTTATTTTAAATTATTTCTTCTTTTCATCTAAACACATGCAAGAGTTTATTTTCTGTGGTTTCCTGCAATAGCTAATGAGTTTAGTTTTTTCTGGTTTTCAGTAAATGATAAGCCAAATTCTAGATTTCCAACTTAGCTGATGACAAAATGCAATGAAGGATTAACCTTTAAGTGTCGCAGAATACAGAGTAAAAGCAAAGTCCACAGCATTTATAAAAACTTAGCTGATGTAGTGTGAACACTTCACGAAGAGCGCGTTCAGCTGAATCTGATCTTCTAATAGATCTAGAGAGCAGGACCAAGCTCGTTATTTAATTAGAAAGATCAGCTAATGGAAACTGATCTTCTCTGGAAGACTGTCAGTCTGTTCTGAATATTTGGGAGCCCCCACCACGCATTCTTATTCAGGACTGGATAAATGAGTTTTAGTGAACCGCTGAAAGTATTGGACGTGGACCACTACGGTCCCAGATAATCAGTTTTAAGACAGCAGGCTTAAACCTACGTTAGGAAAGATGACTGCTAAACCTTGCAGTCACAAGTCATTAAGATGGTACTAAAAGAAAATTTTTTTTTCTGCAGCTACACAAACTTTTCTCTTTTCTATGAAGTTCAGCTTTTATTAAAAACTTTATAAAATTCAGCTACACCAGGCATCAGCAAAATT